TGGCCGGGGTCCTGGCCCGGGGCGCGGAAGCCGAAGTCCAGAGCTGCTCGCGCCGCGGGCCCACGTCCCACCACGGAAGACCGTGGCGGCGAGGCCCGACGCGTGCCCCTTTCCCCCAGGATGCCCACCCTGAGGCCGCTCGCATCCCCGTTCCGGGCCCGGAGACCCCACTCCTTCCTTCCGTTCGTGCGTCCGTCCGAGCGGCGGCGCCCGGCCGGCTCCCTTAAGCGGAGGCGCCTCCCGCCGCCTCCTCCCCCACGCCGGTCCCTCCCTCTCCGCTCGCTCCGGCGAAGTTTGCACGTCAAGCCCCCGGAGTGGAGCCAGGGCGAAGTCGGAAACACAGCCACCGACGGAGAGGCTGGCCGGCCGGGGCAACCCTGAGTGTCATCCCCGTCGGTCCCTCCCGCCCCGAGCGCAGGGGGCGGGGCAGGGAAGACGAGGCCAGGGCCCCTTTCCGCGTAGCTCACAGGCGGCCGCTCAGCTGTCAAAAACATGAATGGGGAGCTACCACTGAGTCGCTGCCTGTCCAGCTGGGAACCCTCAGCAGGCAAGAAAATGCGGTCCAGGTGTCGGCCCAGGTGTGAACCCGATACCCACTGCGCGCACAAGGCTATCCACGTGTGTGCCCCACGCAGTCCACCGCGGAGGTCACAGCGCGCGCCGGAGGGGCTTGAATAGCTACAGCTAGCAAAGGGGTCGTGAAAGGTGTGGAGGAGTCAAACACACTCAGGCAATCTTTAATCGGTTCTCCAAATTTCTCTGTTTACCTCTGCTCCTAGAAGTAATTCATTCACCAAGAAAATAAAAGATAATCCTGTTTAAATGGCAGTTTTTCATTTCCAATTTGAGATGTTAGTTTCCTATAATTGTCGCTTCTGGGGCAGTGTGAGAATTTAAGAATGTACCGAATTTCTAGAAAATTGCTTAGAATATAGTTTCCCGATTTTGTTAACTAAATTAACTACTGGCCTCGAAAACTTGGAGGCTCTCCCTACACATAGCTTTTGCTTAAGTAATAATGTGTACTAAAAGCTTACTGAAGGAAGGAAAACATGGCAAGTACTTAAAACAGCAGTAGCCCACACCAGGCACTCAGTAATTTTTTGTTGTTTTTAGTTTGATATGCATACACACACACACACACACACACACACACATTTAATCAGTGGGGGCTCTTACAAGTCTTGTTACAAACCATACATCAATTGTATCCGACATATTCGTACATATATTCCAGCGTTCTTTTCTAGACATTAACTTTCAATTGAGCCCTTGGGATCAGCTCCTCTTCCCACCCACCCCAACCCCGAAACCCTCTTGGCCCCTTGATAGATTGCAGATTAATTATTTTCAAATCTCAGACCGCTATCTCCCTCCCCTCTGGTCTCTGTTGTTCTTCCCAGTGTCTGTGGGGTGTGGTTATGTGCCATATTGTGATCAGTGGCCCCTCTCTCCCCATCTTCCCCCACCCTTTTGGGATCTCTATTCCTATTCCTGTGCCTGGGTTCCATGTGCTGTGAGTTTATCTCTTGCTTATACCTGGCAATTGTTAATATTCCAAAGAGATGTGAACATTTGATCCTTGAGACAAACAATGATTCTGATCATCCTGCTTCACTTTATAGTAATATCAACAATCACAAACCGTGTCCGTGTCCCACAGGTGCTTCCTCACAGTCTGACTGGATGGGAATGATGAGGGTTTATTTAATTATCTTTTGACACCCCCACCCATCCAACTGGTCTGATGGTAGTGGCCAATAACTAAAGAAACCAAATTCATCTTGCTGAAACATAAACATATTTAAATAAGTATAAAAATTAATGAGGAAATGTTATTGCAACCTAAATTTAACCCATGGCTCCAATAAAAAGGATGTTTTACAGTTAAAATTCAAATGATTTCAAACACACACGCACAGATTGTGCTTTAGAATATGTACATGCTAAAGCACTTTAGTATATACATATATAATTAATGATTTTTAAAGAAAGATTTAGAAATGAGTCTTTTGGTTGTGTGACTAAAACCACAAGTCCAATAAGTGAAATTATGAATGCTTCCTGTCTTGATCTAAGAAGTATTAATAACAAAATAACCCCAAAAGGTACATATAAGTAGAAATATTATAGGAAATCATTTCTGAAGCGTCAACTTACTACAAGTGCATCAGTAAGAAAATGTAAAGGTAAAATGTGCAATTCCCTTGGTAATAATAAGAGTTCCTGATTCTTAACATACTCCCCCGTTCTCAGATTTCCCCAATGCAGACTTGCACATTTTCACTCCTTCCAAATAAAAATTCCATAGTTACATGCACACATTCAACATTTTCCATTTCCCTATACTAAAATACACAATTTATAAAATAGGTTGAATTTTATGTCATCGCTTAAGATAAATAAATAGAATTTTAATGCCACTTGGAGCTACAAGTGAAAATAAAAGCTGAGGGCCACCTGGCTTCCATGCTATCTGGATGCCACATAGAGCGCGTCTGCTCAGAGTACTGGATGAGAACTCAACTAAGGGGCCGGGTGACCAATGTGAAGTATAGTCCCACTGCCTAGAAACACTGCTTGATATAACTCCTTTTTTACATATAACAATATTTCAAATTCACTAATCTGACGTTAGCAAATGGGTTCAATATACAGCAATCTAAATTCTGTTCTAATTCCAGATTGATACTTTTTTCCCCCTCCAGCTTTTGATTGGTTTAATAAAGAAAACAACAATGGGGGCGGGGGCCCAGAAACAAAGAACCAAGTCGTGGTTATTCAGGGAAATTAATTACTAATAGCAGCTATCAACTATTGAGCATCTATTAAATGCCAGGCATTGTTGTACATACCTTAACCTTTATCTCAAATAATACTATTGCATAAGGTAGAAGTGGTAATATTTAAATATACAGATAGGAAAATTGGGCAAGGCTCTGTCATCAATCTTTCTGGGGTCAGATGCTGCAGCGCTCCTCCACTTACAAGCACAATTTTGCCCAATCCTTATCAGAGAAATTTACCAGCAATCTGAAGTGAATAACACACAATTCCTGGAACACTAAACTCAAACCACTTATTCCACTCATTTCACATCAATTCTAACTCACAGTGATCCTGTAATTGGACGGAGAACTAACTGCCTCACAGGCTTTACAAGGCTGTGTGTGGAGTGGTTGGTGGGTTGAAGCCACTGGCCTTTGGGTTGGCATGCAGGCACTTTAACCACTGTGCCACCAAGGTTCCTAATTTCTGGCAACCACCCAATTGCTTCTGTATAGCCAATACATTTTATCCCCCTCTCCCCTCTCCTGTCTCTCCTTCTCCTCTCCCTTTCTCTTCCCTTCTCTCCTCCCCTCTTTTCTCTGTAACCCTTTCAAGAATAAGCAGTTTCTGGTATCCACCTCTGGTTTGGGTTTCCTAATGGTTTGAGTAAATCACCAACTTAAGTCAAAACTTGAGGCTGAGAGAATGCTGTGGGGCAACTCTGCTGCAGAGAATTACTTAATATGGCCCCTTTAGTGATTCTCTAGGTAACTCCCACCAAATAATTGGGTTGGTGGTGCTGGTGCTGGTGGTGGTTAGGTGCTGTTGAACTGTGGATGACTCATCGTGAAATAAGCACATGACTGTAGATTTGAGATGTTTGTTGTCCACCCTGGGGGAGTATGAATTAGACATTGGGCAAGCCTGGTAGTTCAAACCTACAAACAGTTCCACAGGAGAAAGATGAGGCTGTATGCTTCAGTAAAAACAGTTTCAGAAACCCTATATAAGAACACTATGAATTGGAATCAACTCTATAGCAGCGAGTGAAGGGGAATTCGATAGCATTTCAGCAATATAAATAAGGTGGATGGCCACTTGTGTGGTTGGACTATGCAAATAATGTATATGGCACCCCAAGAAGGGGAGTGCTTAGTTTTGCCATTCCACTAGGTTTAAAACGAGCCATCCAAGAAATGGAAAGAAGGAATCTCACTACCATCAAGAGGTAGGCCAGAGATCCCTGCACTAGTAGCATTCTGCTCAATTGAAAAAACCAACTATCGTAGAAAGTGAAATCTCACTAAGTGGTTGCCTCTGGGGTATCTATTGCCTCTGGGGTATGCTAAGAGAGCTTTGTAACACTTAACCCAGGAGCAGGGCAGAGGCCAAGGGACTGCATGGCCCAGAAGCAGAGGGCTAGTGAGAGGCAGTGTGTGTGGACAAGGAAAAGAAGCAGCTCTCCTAACCAAAGAACTGTAACCTTAGCATTTTTGATCCCTGCATTGTAACTTCGGGGATAACTTCCTTAAAAGCCCCATAATCATGGATGTTGTCTGTGAGTTCTGTGTGACCATTACAATGAATTATGGAACCTAGCAGAGAAGTAGAGGGCCATGGAACAGACAGCAACATTTTTAAAGAACTTTTTAATACAAAGAGTTTTGGTCATTAAAAGAGAGTATAAGAGAAAAGCAAATACTGTT